TTTACTATTAATCTACAAAAGTATAAAGTATTCCGAATACATTCGAAACAGTAAATCTACTATATATACCCTATCAGGTGGTCGCTCCCTGACACTAATCACTATTATTATCATCATCTAAATTATTATTATTATCAGGTAATCTCATAGGAACATCAATTAATGAAATCCTAGAATCTGATAAAAGTATATTTCGTATATTCTCAGATTGAAATAAAGATTGGAATAAAACTGATTCTTCTATCATTAAGCTACCTATAACTTTATCAAGTTTCGACAAAATTAATTAACTAATTATATCACTATCCTAAGATTCAGAAGGTTTAGTTTATAGTTTCGAATTAAATCCGATAAAGAGATAAGCCTATTTTATTAATATAAATAATTATAATTTATTAGATTAATATTTTAGAAATTGATTTATAATTTAATTATAATATTTATTATAATTAAATATTTTTATCAAAATATCCTTGATACTTATATTAATATTAATATAAGTTTTATAATATTATAAAATTATATAAAAATTACATAAAAATTATATAAAAATTATATAATATTAATTTATTAATATTAATTTATTAATATTAATTTATTAATATTCTTTAATATACTTTTACAAACATATTCAAAATTGAATATAATTATATTCTAAAAAAATATATCAATAATCTTTATATTCAAATATATAATTATTCTAAAAAGAAAATATTTATTAACCTAATATTTTGTTTTTAATCTAAATATATATCCTTTATAGAACTATCTGACTTTATTGAAATCTTTTAGAAAAAAATAATCCTAAGATTTTTTTTGAATTTCAAATTCTTTATAGTTTTTTGAACTTTTTTTTTTAATTAATACTTTATTAGAAGGAATATAAAGGTTAAGGGAAATAGTAAGTTAAGAATGAGAAAAAGTATTAATTAGATTTAGTTTTTTATAAAGAGAAATATTGAAATCTGTTTGTAAAGAATTAATATTATTAATTATTATATCGATATATCTTTTTATATTAATGAATTGATTAAATAGAATTAGTTTCTTACTAGTATCAAATTTTTTGGTAATATCGAATTTCTTATTGATTTGTTTAAAACTAATATTAATATTTATTTGGAATGTTATAATATTAATAATAGAAAATAAAAGAAATAAGAATAAAAAAGTATTTTAAATAAATAAATAATTTGTAATATTATTAATTAGTATTGATTTGAGAAAGATATGGAAAATGTAGTTTTTATTATATATAGGTTCCTAAATATCTATTTGTATTTAATCTAAGAAATTAACTAAATAAGAAAAATAGTAGGTTTTATATAAGTACTATTGAAAAAGCTAGTCTCCTTCGCTTTCGCCTAATACTTTTAATATAGTTACTATTATATTGAAGTGAATCCTTTGAAGTGAATTCCCTTGAATGAATTCCCTTGTTCATACAGTTATCGTGTATTGTTAGTAGTTTCTTCTTTTGGAGTGAGAGCTGAAAGATTCAAGTGCTGTGCTCACATGTTTATATACTTATACATAGCTGTACTGGAATAATGAGGGCCCGTTTAAATCGATTTTTTAGATAATTTAGAGCTATATTTATTGTTAATATAATCGGGGGTTTATATTTATTCACCCCCTTATCTATAATAAAGGGGCCTCAGCAATTCATCAACTTTTTAGTAATTTATAACTTTTAATAATAATTCTTATAATTTTTTTTAATAATATAAAAAGATATTTGTAATCGAATTGAATTAATAATTATTTTAAATATTTTAGAATATCTTTATCTTTTATAAATAAAAAATTAGAAAAAATTGGTCCTATTCACCAGGAAGATTTCACACTAAAAAAAAAAGTTAACGAATTACTGAAAAATTAACGAATTACTAAGGCCCCCTCATTAATACATTAAAAGATGAAGAGGATCGTAACCCCCGATTAGGTCTAAATGAGTTTTTATTAAATGCTAATATTGCTTATCAAATTTATTATTAATAAAATTGTTTTATTGAAGATTATATTTCGTTTAAAAAGTTGATAGATATAGATCTATGAGATTTGAAAATTTATATTTTGACTTTACTAAATCTGAAATAAAGTTTTGATTAGTATTTTTTATATATATTTTTTTCTCTATATTTCATAGATCTATAAACATGAAAATCAGGTTTACAAGATTATTCTAATTTATTAGTCAAATAATATATCAATCCTATATAAGCAAAAAGTTGAAAAAGCGATCCGAACAGGCCCTGAGTGGAATACAAATTGAGTGGAGGATGAGGGTAGCTGTTATCTGAATTTACCAGATGCTATTTACTTCAGTTGCTGAACACCATTGTGCCTGACCCATCTTCTCTTGTGGAGACTCGCTGGCGACCGGTAAAGTCTATATAGAAGCTCTTAATCATCTCGTGAAGAGTTAAAGATCAACTAATCTTCGTCTTCATTTATGGGACAAATTACTGGGGCTGGATTTATTGGTACAATTACCAAGCTATCCACATATTATTCTGGTTCTAACTTGACTATGTAGTAATTTTCGAAGATTCTTCGAATGTGTTATCTTTTAGATGCTGTCGCGGATGGAACTTTTATAAAAGTGTCTGAAAGGGCTAAGAATTTGAGTGGATTTTGACCTAAAGCATTCAAAAACTTGAAAATATTAAGCTACTTACTCGAATATATCTAGATAATCATTATCTCCGTAAAAAATTAATCTGAAGCTTCTAAAGATTAACGCATATACTACAAATTACGCCCGCGTAATTGAAATTAATATTTTTATACTCTTATACTAATTAGAATTTAGTCTAGTCTGAGCAGACTAGAACTTATAACAGAATCTATTCGTAGATCTATAGAACCTACTTTATTATTTGAGGTTCTATAAATAGTGATTTTACATTCTCATTTACTAAATAAAAATTAAGATTTAAACTTTATTGTGAGATTAAAGCTAGGAGTAAAGCTAAATTCTATTATCAATTCTACTCTCTGATTTTAAATCGTAGTCTTTATTATCACGGGGTGAGATAGAAAGCTGTAGGTATCAAAAAGTTCATTTGATATTGTGAACTATGAAGAGAGAAGAGCTAAAATACAAAGAGAACCATATTTATATCCTTCTCCTTAGTCTTTTTAGTTTCGGGTGATATGTATTTCTAACACTCTTCCACCTTTTGGACTTCATATCCTCGTGAATTAGAGTCATTTTTGCTAGGGAGTGGATCGAAAATACTATTGTTAGGAAGGAGTGGGGATAGTATTCTAAATACAGGCTTTCAATGGTTTGAAGCAATTCAGAAATCGAGCTGTAAACACATACTTCGGGAAACCTGTTCGACGAGCCACAATACATTGTGTAATAGTGACCTCTTCGACTTCGGTCCTTCCTCATTTGGTTCTTCCTCGATATCCTTGATTCTAGGATTGTATAGAGGAGCTCTTCTGATCTGTGGTTGGTATTCTACTCGATTTCGAAGGATTTTTATATTGGTGTTTTGTTTGAAGCGGTTTTTTTGTAGTATCTGTTGTTTTGAGCTTCGTTAGTTGTGTGTAATAAGATGTAGTTGAGCGATTATATAACCCCAGTATTTCTTTATTAGTAGAGAGGTTTGGTTTTGGTTCTTGGAAATAGCAAATGCCTTTTTTTTTGTTATTCGAAAGGTCTAATTTTTTAATGAGATAGAATTCAGTATCAGGGTATGTATACAACTAGGGTTCGAGTAATAATATACAGAATTCTAAGAAGAAAGGGTAAAAGGATTCCTGAACTAATATAGATTAATATATAGTACTAGGTTATCTGAGAGTATCACTCCTTTATATTTATCTTTAGATTGAAACTATATTCTATATTCTAGTCTGGGTTTCTAAATTTTTAATTATATATAACAAATATTATATAATAATGTAATTACTCATTAAACTAATCTTAGTTCAAGGCTAATTTGAATTAAGCGACTGTTCTTATATAGAAGATAAAGATATTTGTAACATTATTATAGAATTTAAGTAGTATAGGAGTAAATCCAAGTTAGATTTAGTATTATAAGCTAATTAAGCCTACTTTCAACTATTTGAGAGTAATCTCTTAATACCTATATATATATATATATATAATAAACATAAATATAAAAGGTTGAATCTTGAATTCGAAATACTATAATCTATCAAAAGGATTCAATACTATCATCTTAGATTAAAAGAAAATCACTATCTAAATGTTCAAATCTAGCTTATACAATTCTATCTCATTATTTAAAATATCTCTCTATTCTTATCTTATAATAAAATAGACGGAAATTATTCAAGATCTTAACTTAAAATTTCAGAGTTCATTAGAATAATCTTAAATTATCGTCTTAAGTTTGAATTATTTCATTCTCTAATTGTTTAGATCTAATTTATAAATTTATAAATTATTATCTAAAATATCTACTCAGATGAATAAAAAGATTAATATCTTGAATAAATTTTATATAATATTATCTAATGACTTACAAAATAATAGATAATAAAGCTTTTCAAATATAAGAATCAAAACGAATATACGTCAGGTATTTAAATTTTATTTTTGAATTACTTAAATCTAAAGCAATTATTTAATACTATTATCTGAGATTAAGGTAAAAAATTATCTCAATATCTGAATCTATTTTAAACAATCAAAATTCATTTTCAAAATACTTAAACCTAAAGGAATAATTTAATACTATCATCTGAGATTAATATAAAAGAATCATATTAATATCTTAATCTATCTTAAACAATTAGAATCTGTCGTCTGAAAAATCGATTTTGAAAGATCTGAATCTTCAAATTAGATTTATTAATTGATTGACGGGACAAAAAAATGGTCACGTGAAATAGATAGTATGTTTGAAAAGCTTATCGATTTTTATTTAGGAAAAGTCTTTTTCATGAAGATGATCATCTTCGAAAATGTTCTGCTACGAAAATGTTCATACTATCTAATGTAATATCTGAGACATTCAAAGCATCTTTCCCTTTCCCTTTCCCTTATCTACAGCCTTACCCTCAGCCTCCTTTCCAGCCTCGTCCTCAACGCTCTCCATTTGCTGCAACTTAGAAGGCAAGACCATCTTCAAGAGATCTGATTTGTTGCGAAGAGGCTTATTTGGGAACTGCTTGCCTCGCTTCTTTGGTCGACCAATGGGCTGCTGAGCTGACTGCTCAGCCTCGTGGCCAGAGAGCCCCATTCCTTCACCACCACCAGCAAGATCGGTTTCACTTTCGATGTACTCTCTGAAACCTAATTCATGAGTGAAGTCAAAGTCAAAAGTTACACCTAGCTTAGTGTACTTTCTCATCTCGTTGATGACCTCGTTGACCTTGGACAATGAAAGGATGCCATTGTGCGACGGTTTTCTAGACATCTGCGAGCCATAGCAGGTCTGGAGAAAAGCGATGGCATTACCAATGTCCAAAAGCGGAATGGGGGATGCGAGGACAGTTTCTGGAAGCTTCGTGTCGACTTCTTCCAATAAAGCCAATTCGAAATCTTCAACGGTGATCAATCGGTCCTCGGTTCTGCGAATAACGTCCAATCGCTGCATCGCAGTCAGTGTAAGTTTTCGCTCCAACTTGTCCCGCTGAGTTTCTGATTCGTAGACTTCGGCGAAGTTGATGAGCTGGAGATCGGTAAGGTCAAGGTATGAGACAAGCCCCTTGAATGACATTGCCTTGGTGAGCTCATGGAAGAGCATGAGCTTTGCAGCGTTAGAGAGGGAATCTTAAGAAGGTGGTGACATCAATCCCTAGAGGAAAACTATGATTAGCTACATTAAAAGAGAGATTGAATGATTGAACTCACGGCAGGAAACCATCTCTCTTGTGTTGGATCATCAACATCAATTCCCAAATCATCCCACTCTGGTGTGTGATTCAATCCATAGTAAGGCGAATTGATGTCGTATTCATCAGCAGGCGTGCGAACTGGCATCGGGGCTAGTTGTTCGACTGGCAGGGCTCGCTGAACTGATACCATTGGATTCGAAGATGCTGAATTATCTTCTTCTGGCATGTCTTCAACCTCAGCTCTCGTAGGTAACGTAGCTCTAACAGTCTTTCTCCACTCATTGCCTGAGGTTCTGATGGCAGGGGTTGGAGTTGATGCAGCAGAAGATGGTGAACTGGAAGAGGCATAAGTAGGAGTGGTTGGTGGAGGTGTGCTAGATGTATTTGCGATATTCTGGCTGTGGGTGGAGGTTTCGATTTGAACGGATGGAGAATTGAGTCTTTCAGGCATCTTACGATTGCGCGAAGGACGTTTGTTTGAACCCATGATGAAAGACAGATGATATTCGAAAGGTGGAGAGACAAAGGTTGGGGGTGGAGGTGGTCGAAGTTGTTGTGTGGGTGAAGAAATAAAATTGTGGGAGGGGAAAGGTTGACCTCTTAAATAGCAAGCGGTTGGATTTCCATTTCCATTTACCCCGCACGCGCAATCTCTGATGTCTGCCGTATCTTCAGTAAATGTCACTTTTTATGCGATCTCGACGTCTGTGCATGAATTCACTGTGTTCAATATCTGAGTAGATGACCTTGGAACTTGCCGTTTTGGAGAAGTTTCTTCGATTACCCCAAATCGTTCGTGCATGGATGTATCTAATTGGCCCAAGTGGGATATGAAGAAGTTATGAGTGATTTCACTTTTTTGAAGACGTTGGTCAATGTCCTTGATGGTCGTAAGTTTTTTGAGAGATAACAGCAGACCAGCTGTGCTGCGAGACATGAGCTTGTCTAATCGGCGCAGATGGGGCAGTGCATGGGCAGAATTCACTTCTAGAGTTAGACAAGTAGACGGCTTGATCGTCCCATCTAATTGTGGTATCTGGCTCATGTTCACTCGGGATTACTTGAATTCACTTCTCGAAAAAATGATAAGTGGTCAGTTGAAAATTGAGGGCGAGATTTACACAGTCATTAGCACAAAGTTGTGGGAATGAGTGTGGTTAATTAGTTGTCTTGGCCAAGAGCTATCTGTAAGGAAGATAAATCTTGTATACACAAGAGAGCTGGCAGCCCACCGTACATCATTAGAGAAAGATTTATCACCTCCAACATCCAAGTACCCATAGGCGCATCGCACAGTCGGCGTGACATTAGCTATGGATAGACTGAATCAATTGAGAAACTGTCGCTTCTACTATACATATATACTATCATTTCTTCTCAAATTATATCAAACATAATAGCATACTACGATCAATTGGAGTTGCTTGGGATGTAACATCTCTGACATGTCGTCTAATTTAAGTTAAATTCTCACGTGACCATATTCAATTAGCCAGACTGTCGTCTAATCTTAGACCCAATGTTCAAATCGTTCTGAATGGCCTTATCTCAATGATCACTCATATTCAATGTTCTTATCACGTCCATATTATCACGCCCATGTTTCATTTTCTTTACATGCTATAAAATTCTCTTTCAATCAATCTATCTAGTCGCCAAGCCCTTACCGAAGCAACCACTCATCTAAGCGAAACTACCCACCTCTCCAAACTACACCCATCCAGGCTCCATTTCCCAGCCCCCAAAATTCGTCCTCCCACACTCCCCCGACTCAACATGTTCCTCAATAATCTCCGTCAACATTCTCCCTCCCTCTGCTCTCAACTTCGCTTTCTCATCTCCTTTCACCTCAAGCATCCAGCGCTCGACGTAATTTCTCAGAGATGAAGTGATGTAGATTTTTGGGGGCCAGGGGTCGGTATCGAAGTATTCTCCATCGGGGTAGTGGAGAGGCGCTTCGACTTCGAGAGCAAAGATGATTTGCGGCCAGGTGTTGCGCCTGGTGCGGTGCTTGAGGCGGATGTTGTGGAGGATGCAGAGGGAGAGGATGAATGATTTTTCGGTGGGGGGAAGGAAATTAGGTGGGGGGTTACACATGGTGAGTCTTGTGGGTGGGATTGGGATTGGGATTTGGTGTGTCTACTTACTTTTGTCTTTGGAATAGTTCGGATAGGAATGTCTGAAGAGTAAAAGTAGGTATAGATAATAGATGGAAAAAAGAACGTCGAAACATGCTTTATGCCGTTGCTGTATTCGCATGACGATAAATTTGTTGTTTGGATGCTATTTTCTTGGCTTGATGGATAGACAGTCTTGATCGCTTACTTCAGGAGGGTGCTTCCACACACTAATGCTCAGACTAATCAGTGAACATTTGCATATCAATAATTGAACAATTCTCACACCTGTACCAAGAGCACAATGGCCCATTGTTAATATCTAAACATTCTTTGTGTAAAAATGCTTTGTCTAATAATTTCTGAAAGAAAATCGAATTGCGTCAAAGAGACATTGTCTGAGGAAAAGTTACTGAACAATCCACGTGCTCACACATAAAATGTAGAGAAAATATCACATTAATTTATCTCAGCATTCCAAACTATCTACTCAATCTACACACTTCTTACTACAACCAATCAACCTAGTTAGAAGCCCCGAGTATTTATACCCAACCTTTTTCAACACTCCAAAAACCACCATGACGATACTTAAAAGTCCTCGCTGGATCCGCCCAGAGCGCGAGTTCCTCGAAACCCTCTATGAAGCACAGTCTTCTCAGAAACTAACCAATCACACGCTCTACCAAATGTATTTGACCAAACAAGCACGACATTTACCCGGTGGCGATCTCCATCTTTCGGAGCCCTGGCCCCAAAGACCGGTCTCATTACCAATATTTCTTTCCAAGTATCGCAAATGCTATAGAAGAGTGCATGAGAAGGCTGAGGCGGCCGCGATACGTCAGGCTCGAATTTTGGAAATCCAGGCCCAGATACAAGAGCAAGTGCCAGTCCAAGCTACACAGGGACAAGAGCAAGTGCCCGTCCAATCTCCACAGGGACAAGAGCAAGTGCCCGTTCAAGCTCCACCAAGACCACAGCAAGTGCCATTACAAGCTCCAATGCCAGGACCTATCCACCAAGCCCCAAGACTCTCACTTCCTCCAGGCGCCATCCGCATCCCCGGAAACAGCATCCGCATTCCCGGCAGCAACACCCGTTTCCCACACCACACTTACCTCCTCCCGGACCACCGCATTCTTCTCCCCAACGGGCTGATCATTACCAGATCCCCCTCAGGCACTCTACCCAGCACGCAAAGTCCGGAGTCTCAAGCTCTGCAACGCGCCGCCGCCCTCTCTCTCGCTCGCGCCCATCTCCTACCTCCGCGAAGACCCACCAATATGCAACTTCCACTTCCGCGCATCCGTCAAGTTCTCGGAAGAGAGTTGCAGGGAAGAGCCCATTTGAATGCTACTGCAATCGCTCGTGCAAGTGCTTCTGCAGCGCACTTTCCCCAGTATAGACAACGATCTGCAGCTCCTGGGCCTTCGGTCCCTATGCGCACTGAAGCGATTTCCCATCGCGCGGCAGTACATGTTTCCCGGCAAAGACAACGATCTCCAGCTCCTGAGCCCTCGCTCCGACTCTCCGCCCGTGGATCCCGCGAACAACCTATCAGTCTCATCGACGATGAAGATTCCTCACCCACTGCGGAAAAAATGCCCGATTCCAAATCCGGTTCTCGAGATCAAACTCCACTCTTTGCTCGCGCGTTCCGAACCCTCACGGTCGGGGATGAGAAGTCCTCGCCTACTTCCGTCGTGCGACTCGCAAATGGGATACATCCTATTCCTTCTTCTCCTGTTGTTTCGGCGGGTCCGATGGATTTGGGGAGGATCTTGAATTGAGATGTCTTTTGATACTGCTGGTGAGTTTGGATGATGATGATGATGATGATGATGATGATGATGATCAGGCTGGTTTTGATCTCGTCTTGCGATTTCTTTATTGTCTTTGTTTTGCAATTTTGTAATTTATATAAATTGATATTTTCTTTTCCTAAAAAAATGTGTGCTATTTGTGATATTTGTAAATGTATGTGAGATTGGCTTTAATATGTGAGATTGAAATTTTATAGATAGTAGGATTGGTGAAGTGATCTGCTGCATAAGCTACTTGCTCTAGATGTATTCAAGTCTTTATATGCCTTGAGATAACGTACTAATTATTAGGTCATTTAAAGATAGATAAAGAATTAACATCGATATCTGGAGCTCAGTCTTTGTTCTCCATGCATTGTTCATTTATCTTCTGATTGTTTCTCTCTTTGTTGCTCTTGTTGACAAGAGGATTACTTGCAAAATTTACGGATGCAAGTGAATCATCATCCGATTCATCTTCTACTACGGATGGTGAGTAGTCGAGTCCCGGGTTGACATACTCAGAGTAAAATTTCGAGTATTTAATGAATATATACTTTGCTATGATAATTATCACCTGGGCAGCCTTTGATAATTTGGCCGATTGGTTCCAAGTTCTTGAACGAACAAGTATCTCTTTCAATTTAACTCCGTGTATATTTTAGTCAATTCTCGAATGAATACATTAATTCTATATATTTAGAAATAATATAATATTTATATAGATCCTATGAAAGATTTGCTCTCGATATAGAAGTATCAATGAGATAATGTAGCTTTGATATATATTTACATAAATCATTAATTTTAATAATGACATGATTCTCAACACGAAAAATCGCTACTTTTAACGCGATTTGCTTCTCGGATATGAATCTACAAGACAGTATTGACGAGAAGAAGTAGTAAAGTAAATAATTGAAGTGACCAAGACTGTTAGATAGGGTATAAGTGCTCATTACTACATCCACTTGAGAGTGATTTGCTAAGATTATAACAAATTACTAACTCAACTCAATATATAAACCAACAAACATAGAAATTAAAGGTTCCCTTCATATTTCCATTAATCAAGCATCGAGAATGAGTCTTTGAAATCAACAGCAAGACCCAGTCACTCAGATGAGTCAAGCAAACACATCCTTAAATAACATATGAGTATAACAAACATATAGCCCCGGTAACAAAGTCCAGGATGCAGAGTATATATACCAAGAAAATCCCCTCTAGCACCATACATAATCCCCATCTCAAAATCTAACAACCATGAACGACCTACCCACCGAAGCACAACATGTCGAAACCCAAATCTCCCGCATCCTCAACACCCGTTTAAGATGGATATGTCCCTTCAGCATCGTCGACCGCTTTAATATCTGTCCTCTCGCTACTTGTACTCTTCTCCGAAATTGTCCTAGCATGTGTCGTCTCCCGTCACGAGATGATGGAGAGGACGATTGCATGGACGATTGGTGTAGATTTCAACATGTGGAACTTACGTGTGGGGATGCGATGGTGGGGGAGTGTCATGGGCTGGATTATGAGGTGCATCAAGATGATGGGGATTGGAGTGATAGGGTGGCATTGTGGGGGTTGAGGGAGGCGCATAGGAGGGGAGTTGATGGAGGGAATTTGTTGGGGGATGTTGGGTCGAGGTTGTTTGGGAGGAGGTGCGAGGAGGAGAGAGGGTCTCAGGGGATTGCGTTTTAGAAGTAGAGGGATTGGATGGGAGGGTTGGGGTGGTGATGTGTGGGAGGAGGAAGGTTATGGGTAGTAGAGCTAGGGGGGTCGAGTTTGTTTGGAGGTAAGGTTTGAGATGCTGTGAGGGGTGTTTGTATGTCTTGACTCTCAATGAATTTTAATAGAAGAAAGCACAGTTGCTGTGAATCAAAAAGCATTCAAAACTAGAACACATTATTCCAAGAGAAGCATCATCATACACGAAGAAAGTAAACCACTCAGTGAACCACTTAACCTGGCGTATTCGACCAAATATCAAAACTTGTAACAATCAAGAGTGGCCATTCTCCCTAGGTATTCAAAATAAACATTTCAAACTCAAGTGAATTAGACTAAACTCACGTGGGAAAGTTCGGCACGCGTCAATGTCATTGATAGGGGTCCGAACTCTAATATGCAGCCAATAACTGCCAAGTATTGGGCATTAATAATTCTTCGAGCTAAATCTCGATCTCAACCTCAAGCTTCATTTTGTAGATGCGTGGAACTACTTGGTTCTTGGAAAGGTTATTGAGGATACTGTCCTGACGATACTATGTATGACCTTGGGTACGCAGTTGATATCATCAAATGTCGAGATTTGTTTGGATTCATACTGCTGTTCTGCCATCGCATCGCCATGATACTCGAGTATGATAGTAACATAAGAGAAGCAGATAGCTGGTTTTAAAGTCTTCGGATATCCCCAATCATGAGATATAGGTAGATATTTAAACACGTATATGCAGCCCACAATCCAGAGAATGTATCAAGAATATATCAGAATCGAAACCTCTCACTTGATGAATGATTTTTAATTTCTGGTCCCACGCCACGCACGACACGATTCCCATCACAACATATTTCGTGAGATTAATATGCACCAAGAAAATTAAATGATGAATATTCCCATCCATCCATTCCAAAAGCACTCTACACGTTTGATCAGTAGGTTGGCATCCGTGTCCCGCACGATACAATGGAAAAAGACGAGAGGTTGGGGAACGCGCCACGGCTTCGGACCATCCCATGCCAATGCCATCTTATCCCATGTATGTTATCCTCTCTGATCCCATGTCATCCTCTCTATCCCATGTCATCCCACTCCACCCTCGAAGATTTTGGTTCCTGGATTGAACCATTTTCTCGATTGGGCTTTTATCTTATTGTCGTAAAATTATAGGGATGTGATGGGATTTTCTGGGATTTTCAGAGATTTGATAGGTTCTTCCCTCTCACTCTCAAGGGAATTATATGGGGCCCTGATTGATTTATCACCTAATCCAGCCAGAAGAAAAGTTCCACCGATTATTTTCGTATTTTCGTATTTATTATTTATTATTTTAATTATTCTTCTTTTCTTTTCCTTTCCCAGCCACATGTTTGTTAAGCTGGACTTACTTATTTGTTCAAGGAGGGAAGCTTTTGTCATTTTATTGCATCCATTTTGATATAC